ACTTGACTTCTACTTTATGCAAACGAGGCGCGGGGAGCGGAGTTCCGACGCCTCGCGAAACTTTCGTAAAACAGCTAAACTAGCCGTTGTTGAACTAAAATGAGGACAGATTCAGCAATTGCATAGGCTATTTCTCGCCTCAAATGTCCTCAGATAAACTTTTAGTTAAACGGTTTTCGTAATAAAAGCGAAAGTTTGCAGCCGAGCCGCCATGTTGGTTCACCGCTTCTATAGGACTGGCGTCTGGTGAATGGGGAAGCGGCTGTCACGTGACCAACTGGTGTCCCGCTCGTGCACGCCTATCAAGCGGGCGATACTCAGAAGCGCCGCTGATGCTTCCTGTCTGCACACCTGGAGACAGCACTCTCAGGGCTGCACTCTCAGGGACCTGTGTCACCGCGATGTAGTTCTAAAGCAGGACTGTCGAACTGCGGTCCTCGAGGGCCTCTGCAAGATTCCTCCACTTCACTGAACTACAGACTACAAGATCACTGCTGGCTTTACAGAAATATTTACAGAAAGGTTCATTCATTAACACTAGTCCTCCTTAATATAGGTAATCACAATACTATTAGTAAATAATTAAAAAGATTTTAGGGCATTGTGTGAATGTAAATAGTACATCCGTTACCCTGACCTTTGATGGTCAACCGACCACAGCAGTAGACCTGCTCAGCACATTTAATTAAGTTTAATTTAGAGGAAAGTTTGAGTGTGATAAATAAAGGGAATTGTCTTAATTTCCTAATATTTCAAGATTTGAAATTAGGGGTTATTAATGGCTGATTTGAAATATATGCTTTTCATGTAGTTTGCCAATTTAAGTAAGTATTCTGTTAAAGTTTTGTGTTTACCTTTAAGATAAGGCTCATTGTGTTGAAATGTTTAAGAACTAGTTTAATGAAGATGTCACAAAATTGTGAAGACCCCCAGAATGAAGTAGCTGCTGGTGAGCGAAATGTACCGCCAGGGCAGATAGATGAGTCTAACATTGTACAAGAAGTACAGTCTGAAGAACCTTGTAGGGGTGAAAGATCTCACACACTGACTGAAAAAGGAAAATAACTACAAAAAGAAAAAAATAGTGGGCTTCTACTTTGCTTTGACACCACTTATGAATGCTGGAAGGCTCTGACTAAGTTGGTTAAAAAGATCGTAATAAGACAAGATAATCTACTGCAGGAACATATCACCACTACTGAAAGGGAACTATCTGATCTGAATGTTGCTTCTGATGAATACAGGAGGATTGATAGCCCATCTCATGACATACGTTGCAAGCTGGACAGGTGTACTTCAGTCACAAAGATTGTTGTGCAAAACGCTCATCAAATCCAAGGAAGAAAGGAGGGGCTGCTTTGGCCTGACGCTGGCTCTGTATTCGCATCCTCAATCGCCAGTGTTTCACCTTCAGCTTTTAGTTGCTCCAAGGAAAATTCTATTCACTCTAATGCATCATCAGTCAAAAGACAAGAAGCAGCTGCAGAGTATGCAGCCACACAAGCTGTATTAAAGATTATGGCTGAGCAAGAACGCTATCAAGAAAAGTTGCAAACACTTGAAGCGGAGGACAGGCTAATAGCTGTAGACCAAGAAGCAGCGGCAGTAGCTCGCCGTTTGCTAGAAGAAAAGGAAGATGCTGAATGTAGGATAGAAAGAGAGAGACAAGAAGCTGCTACTTTATAGAAGCAGCAAGAAGGGAGTAGTGCAAGGAAAAGATCTATACAAGACTTGAAAAGAGATGTAGAGCATTTAGAGGAGTTAAAGAGGCTTAATGCTGCTAAAGCAAGACTTTAGGTCTTGCTTTAGCAGTCTGAGTAATCGAAAAAATAATGGACAGATTTGTCGACTACTAAAACAACCGTTAGTTGCAGCCCTACTCTGCTAGATGAAAGATATGGTGAACCCTTTGTAATTTCCAAGGCCTTGCGTGACAAGTTACACCTGCAAGAGATGCTAAAGTCGAAGAGGTCGCAGACAATGATCCAGAACTTAGAAAGGCCCAGGGCCTCAACACCAAAGCAAAGGAAGAAAGGATGTTGCTTGATCGCTTGTCAAAGTTTTTTGATTGGAAGCGAGCCATCAAGGCAATTGCTTATCTTAAGTGCCATGCTCAACAGATCAAAGGTGTCAAGCAAACAACAAAGGAGACAACAAGTGTTGAAGAAAGACAGGAAGCAGAACCGTTCTTAATCAAACTTGTCCAACATGAAGCTTTCAAGGGTGAAATTAAAAACATTAAGGAAAAGAAAGAACTGCAACTCAAACACAAGACATGCAAGCTGTACACACTGAGCCCATTCATAGACGAGAATGATGTACTCAGGGTGGGTGGACGTTTGAGAAGGTCTGAACTTTACCCACATATCAAACACCCAGCTGTCCTTCCAAGATCAAGTTACGTGTCTTCATTACTCATTCAACACTACCATGAAAGAGTGTATCATCAAGGAAGAGGACTAACTGTAAATGAACTGAGGTCCAATGGAATATGGATCCTTGGGTGCAGCAGAGCGGTTGCTTCTCACATCTACAACTGCAGAACATGCAGAAAATACAGGAGGAACACACAAGAACCAAAGATGGCAGATTTGCCAGAAGAAAGAATGGAAATGACACCGCCATGCACACACTGTGGCATAGATTGCTTCGGTCCATTTTATGTAAAGGAAGCGAGGAAAGAACTGAAAAATACGGTCTTCTCTTTACATATATGTGCTCAAGAGCTGTGCATATTGAAATGTTGGACGATCTCACGACAGATGCGTTCATCAATGCATTGCGAACATTCATTGCAATACGTGGAAATGTAAGACAGTTCAGGTGTGATCAAGGCACAAACTTTGTAGGTGCAATAAGAGAGTTCATGAATGCAATGAACGACCTGGATCATGAGAAGCTCAAGGAATATGGCTGTGAGTTTAATGAACCCCCCATTATCAAGTCATATAGGAGGTGTATGGAAAAGACAGATCAGGAGAATTAGAAGCGTTCTCACAGCAATCATGGATCAGTCTGACAAAAGACTTGATACTGCGTCGCTCAGAACCTTTTGTATGAAGTGATGGCTATTTTAAATAGCAGACCTTTGACAATAGAACACTTGCATGATCCAGCAAGTCTCGAACCACATACAAATGATGAAATCCAAGATCATTTCTCCACCACCTGGACAGTTTGTGAGCGAAGATCTGTATCTAGGCAAAAGATGGCATCAAGTACAGTTCTTAGCAAATGAATTCTGGATGAGATGGAAGAAAGAATATCTTTTCAATCTTCAGCAAAGACAAAAAATGGCAAAAAGGATAAGAGAAACACCAACGTTAGTGACATTGTCATACTTCATGAAGATGGTGCTCCACAAAACCAGTGGAAGTGAGCAAGAGTAACTGAGGTTTATCCCAGTGCAGATGGAAGAATCAGAAAGGTGAATGTGTTACTGAGTGACTCAACCACAGATAATCAAGGCAAACGCACAACTAAGCAGACTTACTATGACTTGACTATGGCTATAGGAAAACGCTGGGATGAAGACCGTGAAGTGCAACGAACTGGCAACGAGTCTGTGAGACACACAAGATAATATCCAGGTAATGAGGGGAGATGGGAAACAGGTGAGGGAGAGCCATCAGGGAGCAGGTGTGACAGGACAGGTGCAGGAAGTAAATCCAAGACAGAGACAACCGGTTAGTGTTTACAAAATGAAACAGGAAAGACGAGACATCAAATGTGCAGACATGAACAGGAACTTGACAGACATGACAGTAAGATGTAATTTGACATCACTAGGTTGTGATTTGGTGGGAGTTTAGCTGCCATAATTGTTATTCATGTTAAAAATATATTTAATATGATTTGCATGTTTTATTGTGTTAATTTTTATTTTCTTACCCGCTCAAGGGAAGCGCCTTCTGTTTAGTGTTGCAAGGGGGACATTTTTACCGTGTTTTGTTTTTCATTCATTCACTATAAAGTTGTTCAAGAAGCACATGCAACAAGTAAAGGGCAAGAATGTCATACAAGGACTGAAAGGTGGTGTTTGCAAAGGCAACTCTTTTTATGATGAACATTTTTCTTTTGGTAATTTGTTGTTATTGTTTGTGATGTGAAGCGGACTCATTCCCTCTTGGCATACATGCGACCAGTGAGGTATGTGCTAAATGTTTACAGTTATTATTTATCTTTACGTTTAGTCGTGCTGCTAGTGTGTATGCATTGCATGTATTTGTGCATCTTTGACAGTTCGACGGTGAGTTTTTGTGGAAATGTGTTGAAGGGGCAATAAACTCGCTAGTGTTACCAGAACCAGGGTCTCATCAAATCCTGGAGGGAGTGATATAAGTAAAAAAAAAAATCTAATTTAAAAAGTCAGCAATTTTTTCTTGAAACTATTTACTAATAAACAAAACATTTGCAGAAATATGGAAAAGTGTAGAACTCATAAATACCTGAAAACCCCAAAGTTAAACAAATGGAAAAACACCTGTATTATTCGTGTGCACTGACTCTTTAAGTAAGTCCACATACATTCATTTCTATCACAGCAAAACACCAGACAAACAACATGCAGCCGTGAAATCTGTGCAGAGAGTTTAGTTTTACAGCCTGCAGCTTCAACTGTTTATTCAGTGTCGATATTGAAGGCAACAAATGAACACATGTACAAAGGCCAGTTTTCTCTGTGTCTATGTACAAACGTTATCACACGGTGAGATGTGACGTTCAGAAGCCGAGTGAACACGTTGCGTCTCTTTCTGTACATCCAGTTACTAAAAAATAAATCTCTCTCTGCTCTCTTGGAAACACAGCAGTTGGAAACAGCAGGAGAAAACCTCACATGCATATACATTGTGAATCTTACATGGTTTCTTTGTGCAATCTGCCCCAAACCCTTCTGACGTTTACAGGCGGCGACACACAGAGCAGCTCCTTCAGTTCTTTGTTGCCTGAAAGAGTTGCTGAGCGTTTCACTGCCTCTTTTCACCCTCTTGTCCCTCCCATCAGTCTCCTCCCTCGCCACCTCCTCGCGTCCTCCCCTCTCCTCCCTCCACCCCTCCATCCCTCCACCCCCTGTCAGTCCACCGTTTCCGGCCGAAGCGGAAACCGAATCCTCCTTTCTCGCGGCTGACGGCCTGCAGTCCTCCGGCGATGGAGGTCAAGGCTTCGTTCCTCTTCCAGCCGTTCTCCCCGTCTCCTCCCTCCTCCAGGGAGTGACCCCCTGGGAAGGGGGACAGTGGCTGGGCCACTAGGTCTCCTCTCTGGGCCCTCAACAGCTCTTCCTCCTCCTCCTCAGGCCGGGAGTCTTGATCCAAGTCAGACCAGTTGTCCCTCTGCTGCTCCAGAGCGGCCTGGAGGTCCAGCAGGGCCAACTGAAGCTCAGGTTTGTCCACCGTGGGCAGGAGGGCAGTGGGGGAGAGGGGGAGAGAGGTGACGGTTTGTGGGACGAGCAGGGCGAGGGAGAGGAGGGAGGCACCGAGATGGAAGGAAAATCTCATCTGGAAACAACAAACAAGCGTTTAAGAGCAGATCATTTTTATTGTTGATTATTTTCTGGATTCATTGTTTGTTCTTTAAAATGTGTGCAAAATGTTTCCCAAAGCCCAAAATGACAAATATCTGATTTTGTTCACAACCCAAAGATAAAAATTGAAAAAAAAAACAACAACAACAAAAAAAAACAGCCTACAAGTGTTTTTGACCAAGACACATAAAACAACAGAGCAAAGTGGAAATGTTCAAATCAGCTCTGAAAACTGCAAACTGAAGCCACGGTGTGTTGCTAAAATCAAATCTGCAGATGAGTTGTTGATGTTGAGGTTTATCAGTATTTGTACATATTCATCAATAGCCCTCATCTGTGCTGGGAAATTTGGAATTAGTATGTTACTGAGAGTTTGTCTGATCTATGCAATCATAATAATCAACTTCATTAATGTGACCTCTTTCTTTGCAAAGTTCCAAAGTGTTAGCAGAAAGAAATACACAAACAGTAAGAACATGATACAGAAAACTGAGAGTCCGACTCCAGTCAGGACATTTGAAATGACCCTGCAATGAATAAAACAGTATCTCGCCTATTTTTTTCAACAAAAAAAATCATTACACTTGTAAAAATAACTTAAAGGCTGCATATCTCACCTATTTAAACTGCTTATTTGACTGAAGTTGGCTTCCCAAACACCCAGCTCAGATAAAAACAGAAGTTAATGTACTGAAGTACTTTTACCACAGTCTACACTCAGTCAAGTGACTATTTTGACAGCTACTTAAACTTCAATTCACGAGTTTTATTTTTAAGCACCAATTAGTTCTTTTTGTAAAGAAATACACTAAATTCATTTTAAAATATTATTGAATTCATATAGATTTAATTCCACAACGTTTTAGCTCATAAAAAACCTGCATTGTTTTATCTGGTCCTAGCAGTTTTTATTTCTTGTTTTTTGGGGTAGGTGGGGACAGATGGTTGTGTTTCAACACAAAATGACCGCAAAGAGACAAAAATTGTCCAGAATGACACAAAGCAACCAGTAAGAGACACAAAATGACCATAAAAAACACAAAAAAATGACTATAAAGAGACACCAAGTGACACAAAAAGACAAAAAGAAATTTACCCTAAAAAGACACGTAACAACCTCAGAAAATGAGAAAACCACTTTAAAGAGCCACAAAACCAACACAGGGACACACAAAATGACCACGAAGAAACACAGAATGAACACACACAGATACAAAATGACCAGAGTGTGACACAAGTTAACCAAGAGACGCAAAGGACCATAAAGAGACATCAAAAGACCATAAAGGCACAAAATGACCTCAAAGAGACACAGATTAACCACAAAAAGACCCAAAACTATCCCAAAAAGACAAAATTATGACACAGACTGACCACAAGGAGACCTAAAAGTGCCTCTATCCACTATCTAGACACCGCTTAATCTTCACTACGGTCGTGAGGGGTTGGAGTCTATCCCAGCTGACTCAGGGTGAAGGTAGGGGACACCCTGGACAGATCACCAGTCTATCACAGGGCTACACTTAGAGACAGACAAACAAAAAACCTGAAATGGATATCATATAACCACCTGTGTGGCAACTCGTGTCCCTTTTATCTGTCTCGCCTCGTTTCCCGTCTTTATAATATCAGTGGATCAATAAAAGCACCAAATAAATCTTCTCTCCAAAGACACAAAAAGGCTAATTTGGTAAAAGTTTCTTTAAACTTGCAACTAGAAGACTTCAAGTGAACCTGACAAGTTTGAAAGGAATGTCATCCATCATCTAGACATCCTCACTAGAGTCACGGGGGGCTGGATTCTATCCCAGCTGACTCAGGGGGAATGATGGGACACCCTGGACAGGTCACCAGTCTATCACAGGGCTACACTTAGAGACAGACAACCAAGCACACTCACATTCACACCTACGGACAATTTAGAATCACCAATTAACCTCAACATGTTTCTGGACTGTGTGGGAGGAAGCTGGAGAACCCGGAGAGAACCCACACTGCACGGGGAGAACATGTAAACTTTACGCAGAAAGATCCCGGGTGTCCTTACCGGGACGCGAACCGGTGACCTTCTTGCTGCGAGGCAACGTGCTAACCACCAAACCACCTTGCAGCCCCAAAACTGTGTCAAAAAGACAAAAAAAGAACACAAAATGACCAGAAATACATGAAAAATGACCACAAAGAGAAACAATAAAAAATCATAGACACACAAAATAAATGCAAAGTGACACAAAATGACCAGGACCACCCCAAACAATGAACACTCCTAAATGCTCCAACTTTGACTTTGTCCAGTTTCAGACTCCTGTACTCACCTCTGAGCGACTTCTTAGCTGCTCTGGACACAAAAAGGGAAAACTGGCTAAGTTTGACTTTTCTCACCTTGTGCCGTGTCAGACGCCTTGATGTATGTTTTGTGATGTTCATGGACGCTGACCTTTTTAAAAACTGCCCGTCCTCCTCCACCAGCCCACCACCACTCCCTCACCCCCTCTGACGCACGCAATCTTCGGCGTAACCTTCATTCTTTCAGCTGGGAAACGTTGGCCCACTTCAGCGCCGAGGCCCGGAAAGTCGTCATAATTATTGCTGCTTGATTGGGGAAGCGAAGCAGCAATGTTCATTAAGATGTTTCTGAGGAGAGAGAGTCTCCGGGAGAGAGAGAGAGATTCCTTCCTCAGGTCTCTCTCCTCGCTGTCGTGAAGGTCGTCTCACCGGGTAATCGCAGACACACCTGAAAGAATGTCATTCAAGCTTTCAGAGGAATCATCTCTGTGACAGGGCTCACACCTCTCTCGCAATTAAAAAGGCTCGACAGGTCTCGCTGGGGCTTTTATTTTGGAATCATTTGTGCCTTACAGCCGTTCAAAGACCAAACAAAAGGAAAAGAAAAACATTAATCTTGTTATTGTTGTCGCTAAGAGAAGGGTTAAAGGTTTCACATGCTCTGAAAGCATTTGATGAGTAATGAAGTGAAATCTATGTGTTTATTAGGCCTCATCTGTTGAATATGTAAATCCTTCAGCCTCTAAAACTGACCCTTCATATCATCAACTGTTTGCGACGACAGAGAAAAGAAAGGAATTCTCAATTCAATTCACAGCAAAAAGACGAAAAGTAGCAAAAAAGTTTGACTTCGTTTTTGCCTCAAAAGTGATTAAAGTTATGAGACAAACGTCTAAAAGAATGAACACAAAGAGACTCAAAATGACCACAAAGGGACATGAAATGGCTCCAAATAGATACAAAATGACCAGAAAGAGACACGAAATGATGTCAAAGAGACAAAAAAGGACCACAAAGGGATATGAAATGACTCCAAAATGACTCTTACTGGCTCACCTCAACAAGCAAGTCAACACCTTTCAGGACCCACTACAGTTCGCATATCATAATGGGTTTGGGGTTGAAGATGCCATCATCTACCTGCTTCAGAGAGCCCACTCTCATCTGGACCAGTCAGGCAGCACTTTGAGGGTCATGTTCTTTGATTTCTCAAGTGCCTTCAATACTATTCAGCCTGCTGAGAAGCTCCATAACTTCCAGGTGGATCCTTCCACAACCACTTGGATTTACGACTACCTAACAAACAGACCACAGTTTGTAAGACTGAAAGGTTGTGTGTCTGAGATGGTAGTCAGCAGCACTGGAGCACCACAAGGAACCGTACTCTCACCATTCCTCTTCACACTGTACACCTCAGACTTCCAGTACAACTCTGAGTCCTGTCATCTGCAGAAATACTCTGATGACTCTGCAGTTGTGGGGTGTATCAGTGATGGACAAGAAGCTGAGTACAGGGAACTGGTCAGTCAGTTTGTGAAATGGTGTGGTAACAATCACCTCATCTTAAATACCAGCAAGACTAAAGAGATGATTGTTGACTTCAGGAGGAGCAAGAATAAGCAGCATGGTCCTGTCTACATCCTGGGAGAGGAGGTGGAGGTGGTGGAGAATTACAAATATCTTGGAGTTCAGCTGGACAACAGACTAGACTGGAAATGCAACACTGACTACATCTACAAGAAAGGTCAGAGCAGACTCTACTTCTTAAGGAAGCTGAGATCATTCAGTGTCTGCCCCAAGATGTTGCAGATCTTCTATAAGTCTGTTGTGGAAAGTGCAATCAGCTTTGCAGCCATCTGCTGGACCAGAACCAGAGACGTAAAGAAGCTAAACAAGCTGATCAAGAAAGCTGGTTCTGTGCTGGGGATAACTCTGGAACCACTGGAGCTGATTGTTCAAAAAAGAATGCTGCACAAGATGATGAAGATGATGGCGGATTCTTCCCACCCTCTCCACAACACAGTGAAGAACCAACAGAGTGTGTTTAGTGGGAGGCTGCGTCAGTTTCACTGTTGAACGGAGAGATACAGGAATTCATTCCTGCCAACAGCCATCACCTTGAAGAACAAATCTGACTGACTGACTGATTATTATTGTTGAATATATATGCTACATTGATTTAAAAAAATAAATTGAATTTCCCTTCTATAAATAAAGTATTTTTCAAAGAGATACAAAATGATGTCAAAGAGACAAAAAAAATGACCACAAAGGGATATGAAATGACTAGAAAAAGATGCAAGACATGAAAAAAAGCCAAGAGGTCCACAACGAGACACAAAATGACATAATCACATGACACAAACTGCTGCAAAAACACTCCAAAGAGAAACAAAATAACTACAAAGAGACAAAATAACCACAAAGATACAAAATGACCACAGAGACATAAAATGAATAGAAACTAAACACAAAATGATGACAAATAGACACAAAATTACTATAAAGAAATACAAAACGATTACAAATAGACACTCAAAACGATCACAAAGAGACACAAAATGAACACAAAGACACAGAATCACACGACATGACCTTAAAGAGAGACAAAAATGACCACAAACAGACACAAAGCAACCACAAAGACACAAACCACCAGAAAGAGACACAAAATGACCACAAAAGAGTTTGAGTCCTTTTCTCTTGATCAGCTCATCGACTTAAGCTTCATTGAGAGGAAAATGAAACTTGGAGTGTGGAATGTGTTAAAGCAGCTGATGGTTTATTCACAGTAACACCTGCATGATACATGTAGTCGTCAGATTTCATAAAATCGTTTGTTTGTGTTGAAAGACTTGTACACCTCTCTAATGCCAACCTATTTGCTCACTCACATTTCTGCTAACGTAGACCCAGCGGTTCCACTGTAACTACTCTAATGTTTGAAGCTGTTTATTTGATGACTAGCAGTAATGTGGACTGAAAGAATCAGGATCAACTTCCCTCCCTGCTCCTCCTCCTCCTGCCTCCCCAAAGTCCCTGTAGGCCTCCAGAGAGGAGATACTCCCCGGTGCGCCCTGGGAGTCGTAGTCCAGGAAGAAGGCGGGGCTCTGCAGCAGCTGCCGTGATGGGTGGGCAGCGGTCGGGCTCGCCGGAGCCTCACCAAGCGGGCTGGTGAGCAGGGAGAGCTGCAGCTGGTCGATGGTGCTGGTGGGGAAGGGCTGGTCCGGCGGGGAGCAGGATGGGGGTGGCGGGGAGCTGGTCGCCATGGTTACGGCTCTAGGAGGAGCAGAGGGCGAGCTAACCTGAGATTCGTCGCAGTTGAGGGAACGCCTCAGTTTGGCCCGGGCATTTTGAAACCACACCTGAGGGAAGACAGGGCCGCCATCTTAGATCTTGTTTCAAAGACCGGTGTACACAATGTAAAGTAGACATTTTTCATTTAGCATGTCCTGCATGAACAGATTATAAAACTGTAGGCCCCTGAGAGCACACATGTCAAAGGCAACCTGTTCAAGCACAGGTTACAACGGTGTATCTGCAGATGGTTTCAGCCATTTGGGTCAGTTTGTGGTTCTTTTATGTCTTTTGTAGCTTATTTATTTCCTTGTTTTTGCTTCATCTCTCTTTGCAGTCATTTCACATGTAATAGATGCGAAGAGATACAAAATAACCACAAAGAGACACAGAATAACCACAGGAAGACACAAAATAACCAGAGGGAGACACAAGGTGACCAAAAAGAGGCACAAAACTACCTCAAAGTGCAACAAAATTATCGCTAAGAGACTCAAAATCACTGCAATGAGAGAAAAAAAGATCCGAAAGAGACACAAAATGACTGCAAAGAGATGTAAAATGACCACAAAAAGACTCAAAATAACCACAAACTGCCATAAAGTCACCAGAAAGAAACTCCAAATGACCAGAAAAAGACATATTAATGAATAGAGACCCGAGATGATGACAGAGACACAAAAATGACAATAGAAAGACCAAAAATGACAACAGACTTAAAATGACCACAAAAAAGACACAAAATGACCATTAGAAGACAAAGAAAACCAACAATGCTAAAAAACAAAAAACACAGCAAAAAAAAATAAATCAGAAACAAATGCAATCTGTTCACAAATAGTTGAGACCAACTAAAGGCAACACTTTTGTTTGTTTGCATTGTAGATTTGGGGCCTTCACACATCTCTGCCCTGCAGCCTCTTTTCTAATAAATCATCACTTCACCTGCCAAAGCTGTTTAATGCACATTTAACCCCCGTTCATCTTGTTTTTAACCCACTCTGATAGGATCATTATGTTAGTGAGTCATCCTCCACCTCTCAGACGTCTTTAGGTGTTCGTACCTGCAGGACCCTCTTGGGCAGACCGGTCTTATGTGCGAGGCAGGTCCAGTCTTTACCGTCGGGATTGTGCTTCTGGGCAAAGTATGACTCCAGCGCTCGGAGCTGCTCGCTGCGGAAACACGTCCTGATTCGCTTGGTCCGCCTTCTGGTCCGCCCGGCCGCCACCCTGTCGTCCAGTCGAGGCTCTGGACTGCTCACGGATTCCTCCCCTTCACCAGATACCTGGTGTGGACCTGTCTCTCACATCCAGGAGACTTTAGTTAGCTGTATAAAGCTCCAAACACACCCCAGTGCTTCGCCCCCTCTAGCTCCTAGTTTTGGTTCTGCAGTTTGCTCTGTGCACCTTGTTTGTTTAAAGAAACCTCCGCAAAGAAGCTTTGAAGTTGAAGTTCAGGAAATCCTAAATAAAGCAATTTAAGGTTTCAATATATAAATTATACTAAGAACTCCAACATCTGAAGTAAGATGAATTTACCAATCTGCTGTGTCTGATCTCTAGGAGACAACCTACCTAGAATACCTGGACAAGGAGGTACTTGAATGACTAATTAGCTAGGTTGTGTCTGAAATCATCCACTCACTCCCTACTCACTATAAAGGGACCACTATATAGTGAACTATGTAGGGAGCACCTCGGCAAACTAACATTTCATTAGTATAAACACATCACATTCACCATTTATTGCATCGCTAAGAAATGGGTAAAATAAAATGCAACAAAACATGAACGGGTAATTACTTACATTTTAATGACAAGTCTTCGTGCTCCTGTTCGTCTTGTTTGCATTTCCTTTCACGCAATGCATGGTGGTCCATATTGCTGGTTAGTGACCATCAGTTGTACGCTACTTTTAACGATGCATTGTGGGATATTTTGAGTGCACTATATAGGGTGTAACATTTGTAACTTAACATTCGGACAGCACTACAAAATGGTGAACACCCTATATAGTGCACTATGTAGGGTATAGGGGGTGATTTCGGACACAGCCCTAGTTTATACTAGCAGGTAAGTTAGGCTAAGTCAGCAGACAGCCACATGCTATCTTCAAACAGTTTTTGGAAAGCCAGTTTCTGTCATGTTCCTGGTAGGAACACTGTTATTTTGTGATTCCCTTCCGGCTGTGCTTGGTGTAGGTGCCGTGTGTTTTGTGTTTGCAGGCTGAGCGGGCTCCGACCAGTGGAGGTGATTACGCACCTGTGGCCAATCGGCAACCAAGCACAGGTTAAAGCCTGGCGTCTCCTGCTTCCTAGTGCCAGAAGATTGCACACCTCTCACAGGGTATCTAAGCCAGCTCTCAGTTGTGGACTAGAGTTTTTAAGCCTCGAGTTTTTCTGTGCGTCTCTGTGTGAGCGTATCCTAACCGTGTGTTTCCCTCCACATGTCCAGCTGTCACCTCCACTGGACTCACGAGGTCCACCCGCTCAGCAGCAGCGCACCTCTCCAAGCACAGTCGTCCTTCCTCTCATGAGCCGCAGCACTGATCCCTCGGATCCCCTCCTTCACCTGGCTACAGCGTCTGCATCCCGAGCACCTGCACCTTCTCCACCTGCACTAACCTTCCCCGTTTGATCACCCCCCTGCCTCTGGGCTCACCCTTCACTCTCCCTCCCTGTTTTTGTAATAAAACCACCTTTTCCGCTATTCGCAACTGTGTCCCACAAGCGTCTCAACACAGTTTCACCATCATTCACACCTGCATTCAACCTTCTGCAGGCAGTTTCACCACCACTTACATCTTAGGTCAACCATTGCAAGCAGTTTCACCACCACTTACTGCTTGAGTCATCTCTCCCCAGGCAGTTGTATGGTATCTGATGTTCCACCTCATGGGTTTGACATGTTTAGTTAGGTTTAGGGGCTGCAGGAAAGGAGCCTCTTTGTTTAGAAGAATGGGCTCCCCTCAGGATATGAACCATATGTCTTGTCTTAGTTTAGGTAAACAGCCCCCTATATAAGCCAGTATAGGTTATTCTGGAGGGTGATTCTTTTTGGCCTCGAATCCTCTCACAGGCGTCTGAGATATTGTACTTGTTGAAATAAACCTTTTATATGCCAACAAGACGGTATCAGCTGAGAATTTCTTCATCCTCTTCACATCATCACTACTCAATAAACAACACTTGCACAACTAATTACCCCTTAAGTCAACCTGTACCAGGGAGTTTCAACACCAGTCACTGCTTGAGTCACCCCTCCCCAGGCAGTTTCACAACTAATCACCGCTTACGTCATCCTGCCCTGGGGAGTTTCAACCCCACCCACAGCTCAAGTCATCCATCCCCTGGCAGTTTTGCCAGGAGTCACGGCTTGAGTTATCCTTCCCCCTGCAGTTTTACTACCATATACAGCTTGAGTAGAACATGAGAATAAATACCTGGAACCTCATGGGTGAGAGGTGAAGGGTCTATAAGAAAGGAAATTAAGAGAGCAAGAAACAAACAGTTTGAGATTTGATGGTAAACAGAGGTGCTGCCGCTATTGTACATAATCAGCTTTATTTAGCATTTGTAATATAGTAGGTGACAGGTTCGCTGCTATCACATGTTGCTAAACGTGACATTTAATCAGTACTGTTTTGCTGTGGTGAATAAAGCATAACTGTGGTATATAGGGGAAGTATATAGGTCCAAAATTCTGGTCAGTTTGTTCACCAGGATTTTATGTGGAGAAAAACATTGCAAAAACATTGCAGCGCCTCTGTTTCGGTGTATCATCTCCTTCAAATACACTCACCGTCTTTCTGATTTGGTTTGGTTTGGGCGTCATGCTGCAGCGGGGCACCTCCATCATCATGATAATGTGACTGACAGTAGAGGTTCTGGCCCTGCATGCAGTACAGGTTCCCAGGCATTAGTTTCACATCACACTCCTGTGAAACATCATAAAAACATTTGCTTTCATGCCCTCTTTTTTTAGTGAAATAATAATAAGTTTTAATGTTGGCGCTAACCTGGCAGGAGAAGCAGTGAGGATGGAAAGTCAGCTCACCGGACCTCATGACCAAAGCGGATGCTGGGATTGGCTGAAAGCAGCGAGCACACTGACCGCCTCCGAACATCCTGAGCAGGAAGAGAAACCACACGGACTCGCTCAACAGGAAGTAAAGGGAGGTAAACAGTGTGTAGAATAGTTTCTACCTGCAGTAGTCTTGCTGGCAGTAGATGTTTCCGTCTCTCCAGTACAAGGAGGGATGCGTCTGCAGCTCACACTGACACTGGCTGCAGCGTAGGCAGACGCCGTGCCACACCCTCCCAGCAGCCAATAGGAAGAAGCGGTCGCACACCTGCTCGCCACATCCACCGCACATCATTGGCTCCTGGATGGACACAGCTGTTGGAGCCTGAGGCAGATTAAATATCACTGAATATATGCAGACAATGCAATTATGTCAACATATTTAGCTACTTAGATAAACTGGCATCAAAATGTTTTTTATTTATTTATTTATTTATTTATTTTATTTCTATGAAACAGGTAAAAGTAGGAAAACTGGTTTAGCTAAATCTATGCAACTGCTTTTTGCTAAG